GGTGAGTTGGGCTAGGCTGGGCTGGGCTACGTCGGTGGTGGGGGTGGTGGTGGTTGTAGCGATGGGGGTGGTGGTGGTGGTTGTAGTGGTGGTGATGGTGTTTTGTGGTTGTGGTGGTGGTAGTGTTTTGTGGTTGTAGTGGTGGGTTTTTTGTGGTGGTGGTGGTGTTTTGTGGTGGTGGTGTTTTGTGGTTGTGGTGGTCCAATTCAAGGCGCATACACCATCAATCATAGAATTCTGATGAGGTTGAAGTAAAAGCCAGCAGCAGATCCGCTCAGAATCTCTCCATGAGCTTTATAAGAAATTTGCTGTCTGGGTTTGCCTTAATCAATATCATTACAAACTCATTACAAACAAGTCAAGAAAACAAGGTGGACGAAATCTACACATAATCACTTTGCAAGAACTTAAAGATCAACACCATTATTCACGATGACCAATGAACAGGCTATTTTGGTTTCTAAAGCAAGTTCTATGAATTTCAGAGAAAGAAGTCTTTTCTGCAATTAACACTAAATCATTGAAAGAGCAACCGGTAAACGTACCATTTTCTTTAAAAGGTATGCTCTCCTTTAAATGACAAATATTAGGTTTTCCGCCTCGTTTACACTGTGTATCCACACCTGTTGAAATGATCACTTATTGACGTAGACAAAACAAAAAACGACGTCCAATGACCTCAAGAACCAACAACAACAGTTAACTAGAAAACACGTACACTCGAAAGGAGTGGGGTATTTTATCCAGTTAGCAATTATCAACGTTCTTTCGCTGATTTAAATTCTCTGTCCGAGCGATCGAGTTTCCTCTTAATCAGATTTTTTTCGTGGCAATGCAATAACATACATGTTTGTAAGTCTTTGTTAGTCTTTTAAGACGGAGATAACTCAAGCTTTTCAATTACAGTTCTGTTGAGTTAATATACGAAAGGAAAGTTGGACAAGTGAGAGTGTCACTGTTCATCTCGGTTGCGCTACAACTCAAAGTAAAGACAACCGACTACCTTGCGAAAATATTCCGGTGACGACTGGGTGCGCGTGGCGTTATTCAACAGGCAGTCATGGCTCAGGGTGTCCGGCGAGTTGCGCTGAACGTTGAATGACCGGCAATCGGGGTGCTCGTGGCAGAGTCGACCGCACGCTGCCACGGACGTGATCGGCTGGGTGCCCAAGACGTGGCCGACGAGGCACTGCTGCTGAGGGCGGCCGGTGGTTGCATCCACCGACAGGCAGTACACGCTGCGGCTGGCTGACACTGGCAGGGAGAGGGGTAGAATCCGTGGCCGCTCGCACACAATGAACATCTTTGTGCCTTCAGAGGTATCGCCCCAATATCCTCGAATGTAACGATTGGCCTTGTAGTTCCTGGTTATCGCAAAGGCGTGATCCTGAATGACTGTATATTTAAAGTCATCCGGTTGCTGGGGCTCCCATTTTCTGTATTCAGTCAAGGATTTGTTCCCCTCGGAGCAAACCCACTCGCCCTCCGTTCTGACGTCATTACAGTGGATATAAAAACCTATCAGGTCCTGATGAAGGTCATCAGGCATCGCGAACGATTTGTTCAGGAACGAGTTCTCCTCGTCCGAACTTGGCATCACGATGAAGGCATCGTGATGTTGGCATCGCCCTACGGCAGTGATCCAATCACCGGACATCGATCCGTCCAGGCCAAGGTAGCAAGACTCCCCGAACGCTACCCAAGGCGACCCGTCGCCGGGGCACCCAACCGCGACAGACACTGAAGCGCCAATCAGGGCGGCCAGGCAGCACGCAGTTACAAAAACTTTTCCAAAAGCAGTTGGCGCCATTGCCTTTCTGTACGGTTTTTGCTGATGACAAAATGTTAGTCTCAGACAATTCTCAGTGTACGCCTGCAGGTTGATGTGCAACTGCTACGCGCAGTAATGCGTATGAGGCTCAAGAGGCCGACGTCGAATGAAATGCTTGCTTGGTTTGCATAATTTTTGTGCCGCAGTTGCCATGGTGAGGCAGAACAGTTACGTCTTGCCTAGAAGACAGCTCCAAAGGCTCATTTATGTGACACAAACATGAGTAATACATGTACCGGAGGCAAATGAGTGACACGCCACATGTTTGACATGTCACGTGAGACTGAGGATAAATCTGTGATGAAATCTTTTTGAAATTTCCATCGAGATTCGAGGCAGTTCCTTGGTTTGGTGGATAGTATTTTTCTGTTACGCCATCGGTTCCAATCTTCATTTGTTTATTTATTCTGCGTCTTAAGACCCAACATTTTTATCTCAGTCTTACATCAAGAGCGGATTCGGGAAGAGAAGCGCCCCTCAGCGTTTGAAAAGAGCCATGTTGGTGTGAAGGTCCACAACGCAATCTCTTTCGATTAATAAAGGTCCAGTACAAAAACTTGAGTTAAAAGCCGATCCAGTATCACCCAATGTCAAGTGACTTTTCCGAGGAACATCCGAAATATTCCAAAGCCGTTGCTGTGAACATTCGGATAGTATCGTTGACGGTCGGACATTTTCGGCCGTTTCGTGGCCACTTATAATGACTGGTTCTCCTTTAGCTTTCCAAGGCCAAGTTTCATTTCCTGCAGAAGCGATCGCTTCCCAATTCTCTAAGCAGAAAAGCCTTTGCGGCCATACAACCTTTCAGCGACCCTGCCGCATGAAATATCCATCGCAATAATTACGAACTTCAATATTTTCCGCCATGATTGCGATCATAATACAATTGAATTACATCACAACTGAAGGATTTCCTACACAATCCCCGAGTCTTGGCTCATTGAACAAACGCAAAATTGACACTAACGTTGAAACCACTCGGGCACATCATTTTGACAAAACAGGTGTTCAGTTTGTCATTGGTTGTTCAAAATGACGTCCATTCATGGGTCATTTTTGCTTGGTGAAGAGTGCTTTTGTGTGTGACTTTTGATTCAGTAACCAAGTTGCTGTGCATGTCAATTTCTTCTTTGTTATAAAGATAATCACTTACTTTTGGGCATGTGATTAGTAAGGGGTATTGCAGCATAACTGTGTACAAAAATTGTTTATTTCTATGGAGTGAATTTTTACGTGTGGCCTTTGACAGAAGTGACAAGTTTCTTTTGCTGTCCAGTGTTTTTACTAAGAAAGTGAATACTATTAAAAAACTCTGATCACCTAAACAGATGATAACAATGAACAGCTGGATGGGGTCACTTTTAGGTGATTTCCACCCGCTTCATCTTGGCTTTTCATCTTTTTCCGCTTGTTATTTTTTTAATGGGGGGAGGGGG